AGACTCGTCACAGAGCTCGTCAATGGTAGAATGGTGTGCTATTTCGCGGCGGAGGATGGTCGTGTGGTGGGTGTCTATCTTGGCGTTTGGAGTTGCCCACCTGTTTTCCAGTGGCCGCCAAATTGAAGGTCTGCATGTGGTTACTTAGCTTACATCACAAAAAGAGTTCTTCGTTGTGTATCAAGCGGCCCGGAGCCGCATTGCAACATCCTCGGTGTCTCGTATTTCATGTCAATGGCAGACGAAAGATGGCTATGAATATGCTGAAGAATGTGCAAAAGTCCGTATAGCCTCTCTTTGGGCTTTATTAAGATACACTCATTCCTTTAAGGCGCACATTTCTTAATTGCATGTCGCCGTCTCCCTTCTAGGTCCCAGATTATCCGTGCTATAGTGACCTCAGCCCTCAGAGACTGATGATGATTGTGAAAAATCATGACTTTCGACATCATGGCTGAGCTACTTTGCGACGATTTGTTTGCTTCGCCCGCCCTGTACGAATTTTGACACCTGAAGCCCGGCTCGGACCTGGTTTGATTTCCAAGTCTCTGAGACTAATCATCTGGCTTGACAACAATGTTGTGTTGACAGGGTAAAACAAGCTCTCTGGGCGAAACGGTGAAGGACGGCTTTCTATGACATTGCTGTTCCGAAGTTCGTTCGCTTCTTCCAGCCTTAGTTGAGGTATAGTAGGTCCGGGAGACCTCCGTGGATATGTTGGTGACGTAGACTTCGAGAATACACTTGCGGGAGAAAGCAAAACGTTCGCATAGGCACAAGCATCGATAAGTGCTTGTTCGTCCTGCACTAGAAGGGGATCCGGCGGAGATGGTGTTGTCATTTTTCGAAGTTGCGAGATGGAGAAACCGAAGATTCTCTCGGCCTCAAGATACCGGAACTATTTATGTTCAAAATGCTGGTCACATCAGCCGTATTTGACAGCAATCTCATCAGCTTTAACTCTTGAGGTAGATAAGCCCTCGTAGTAAGCCAATAGTAGGTCGACAGCCAGTTTTGGCGTCAGGTCACGAATGCTGTATATAACAGGATGGTCCATGAGTCCCTTTGCAGCCTTGCGTATACGTCGCACCAAGTCACACACTGAACGTCACCATGGAGATCTGGGCGTTTGCCAATCTGTACACTACTCCCCCTACAGTCGGTACCGTTCAGTCGCCCTCAAGCACGGTGACTGAGCTTCCTCAAATATGCACTTGTGCCTCGGAAGGGGACGTGTCAACCTCGACTGCAACTCACACGGCTGCAGCTAATACGACTGCACTTCCCAACAGGATGGAGTCCTCCCATAGATTCTGGAACACTACTACCGACCACAATATATCGAGCATCAGCACCGCGATCAGTCTTGTTACAGCGACGTCTGGTGGTGATGTTCAACCGTCATGGACCTACCATCGACCGACGGTGCACACGACCGCGGCGATCCCCGTCAGCGCAACCGGTTCACATGGCGCCGGCTGTGACCACCTTGCAGCCTTTTTTGTCTTTTTTCTCGGTGCATACGTATGGGACCGGCTTTGTTAGACCCACTTGCTGCTTCCGAGCAACCACGATTACCAGAAACTCACGCAGGAGGGGGAAGTGATGGATGGTATGTAGGGTGGACGCGTTCTTTGGCTTGGTCCAATAAGAGATGCGAGGTATCTTCTCTTGGTGCGCAATTAGATCTCTCGTATTGGTATACTGCATCCATCGTGCGATATCAGGTGGGGTGAAGGTTGTTCGTTTTGTTCAACCCATTGAATGTTAGATGGCTACCCAGATCGACTTATCTACTGTTCAGAAGGATGTTGACGGCGGCACCGCAAAAGTCTTGATTGAGTGACTTCATTTCCCTTTTCCAGGCCCTGCAAGCGTTGTTCCATCCTCTGTGAAGCTCCATCACATCTGAGAAACCAGTGCTCAAGGGCAAGCCCGAGGGAAATACAAGTTTTTTAAACGCACCAAATCCAAAAGACTGATCAGACTGATTAACTTTCAGGATGGCGCGCAGCGAAGTCAGGCATTAAGTAGCATTTATCAATTGCCTGCTTTTTGTACGTAAGGGAAATGATTGATGGATTTCTCTCTATGTTGTCTTTGCAAAGCTTGCTACCAACACTCCAAACCCAAGCTTCTTCTCTGTCGCGGCTCAACCCACCGCCGTATGGCCTGAGACTATCGCTTACGATGTCGTATCTGCTCTCGTGTATCCAAAAGTGAGCTTGGGCTGTGATTTACGTTGTTAGAAGGCGTCAATATAAGACTTCCGTGAAACGGACCTTGTCGTTTTCTACCTCGGCTTTGGACGGGGAGGTGGTTTCGGAACGCCTGTGGTATCGTACGCCCCGCGACCTTGATCTACGTTCGTCTCAAGATTGTCGGTGATACCCATTTCTTTATTGCTGCGATGCTTCGTTTGCTGTGTAAGTGTTGACGATTATTCCTCAAGATCTTGTGCCGACAATTTCGGGGTCTTTATATGTGTTCGCCTCGACCACTTACCCCTATTTGGTGCCAACGTTGAAATATTCAACCACCCCCTTGCGAACTCGGTTGACCCGTTATGACACGATTCAATAACGCTGATATCCGCCAGTCCATGCGTGATCCTGGTCAACCTATTCTTAAATTACCATTGCCCCTGAGGGTCATCGTTGGGCTAGTCTCTTTGAAGGACCAAGGCGTTCTAAGACGGGCAACCTTGCTCTGCGCTTGGGGTCGTGATCTTGATGGACACGTCTATTACAACGCAGGCATGTCGTAATCGGGTGGGCATGGGAGACACAGGATATGAAAGCCAGCCCGCAGAGCTGATGCTTGGTATTGTGAGGTGAGATAGGCAGGTTTTCTGTGTCGAATGCTTCCGGTGTGCACCTTGTGCAACAACGAGCTCATGCAATGAGATGCTACTGAATGGAATCGATCCAAGCCGAGCGACTTTGTAAACCGCTTCTTGTCTCAGGTATCGTGAACTTGAATGTCTTTTCATGTTGTTCTTGACTATCTCGCGGAATGAGCCAAGCCACCCAGTCTGCTGGCGCTGATCTCGTGACAACCTCATTTATCTAATGCATGGATCTTAGCTTTTGAAAACTCTTGTCTCGGAGGTGATATGACGAGCGTTGACTGTCGAGATTCACTCCTTCTTTTGGCCGGCCGATGCGTAGCTCGATCTCACATCCTGAGAGTTTGACGGGCTGTCTTTCGCCCCGACCTGAGAGCCTTTTTCATCCGATTTAGCAGCATTGAGCCGGGCAGTACAAAATGGCAGTGGTCGTGCTTTGTGTCAACGTTTTTTACTAATAAGGTGACATGATCACTTGATATTGCGATGGCTAATGGTACTCGAGGTTTCATTCATGATGAAACCGAATGCGATCTAATCTCAAGTCATTTGTATGGACTCATTCGAAGTCCAACCTATATGTACACGTCGTTGGTATCTTGGGATGACAAGGAAAGATCTATTTTTCAGGATTGTTAACTGGTCGGAGCATTCTGCATTCTCGTTTTGTCGCAAACTTGGTAGCCTTTGGCTGTTCTGAGTGACGTGGCCAGCAAACCTTAGCGAAGGGTGCTTGCTGCACTCGCCTCAAGCTGAACCCGCCTCTTCCTTCCCGAATCGAGTAAATGTTTTTGGATTGTCTTAGTCGCAGAATTGATCATGCCAACAGCTGTTGGCTGATCTTTGGTCCCGTATGTACTGTAAAGTCAGTTGGAAGGGTGTTTTTCTTCTTCTTTCTTGCCGTCTTAATGTCCGCGAGGCTCGCCAGTGAATGGGGCATGCTAACTTCTGGAAGTGTAGGGTCAGATACATAACCATCTCGTATGTATGCTAGTTGTTGGGGTGAAGTGTGCATGCCAGGAACAAATCAGTAAGGAGACGATGTGCAGAGATTTCATATCGTGCCACGTCGCTTCTCGATAACTGCGCAAACATCCTTAAGCATCCGAAATCAATCGGCCATCAAATTTGAACACCCGAAAGCCAATTTTGTCTCCATGCGTTGGACGAATCCAGGTACAGCTAGTTTACCATCCCCACTAAACGCCCTGGACGTCATCAAACATGGCAATTTCGAAGTTTGCGTGTGGCCGCTTATGACTCTGCCGGAGAAGATCGGCAGAAAGATCAGAAATCAACTGCGATGACGGTTTCTTTGTCCACCATGACCGGATTCCAGGGTCGGATGCGGCTGCATAGTGCAATTGCGGGCTTACCAGCGTTTGGCCTTTTTCGATGTGGTATGATCTGGCCACCACGCATTATCAGGCGAAGTCGAAGCATTAGATCGTTATCTTCATCGGTCGGAGCACCTTTGAAACGTCCAGAATATTTCTCTGCTCGGCAGCAGGTTTTGGATCTTGCAGTTGCTAATGTAAATGTTCAAGAGCATGTTGTGTCTCTTGAATGCTTTCTCGATTGAAGTCCACATATGAGCCGGCTAATCAAAGTCGAATGATCAAGAACAATTCATCGCTTCACAGGGGCAAGCAAGATGCATTGCTTTGTAG